GCGGGGCCCTCCCGCGCCCCCGGTGAGGTCGGGGACCCCGCGCACCTGCTCGGGGTTTGCCCTCGCTTGCAGCGCCCCGCCGGCCGTGAGCCCGCAGCCCCGCCGTGCGTGCCGGGCCCGCAGCCGGAGCCGCGGGGACACCGCTCGCACCGCGACGCGCTGGGAGCAGAAAAATGGGACGAAAGGAGAGGGGCCGGGAAGAGGGAGGCTCGGTGCCATCTGCCCCCGGTTCTCCCGGGGTAAAAGTTAGAGCTGGCTTCTTCCTTGAGCTGCTGCTCTGTGCCGATTCTTCGCTTCTGGCTTTTCCCCCAAAGAACAAGATGGAGAAGTCGGTCGTGTTTCTGTGCCATCTTGTCCATTTTCTTCTAATAATCGGGGGGCAGATCAAAGATATGCATTATTGCAAACTTTTAAAGTAATCTGGAAATACCTGCTACAGCCTTGTCTTTAGAATGGCTTATAGGGCAAATATAACAAGAGGATGTTTCTTATGCTTAAAAGAAAAACAATCATTCTAAAACCAGTGCCCGTTTGGAGTGCCATTTTAGCAAAAGCAATAGCCAGGCTATGGATAGCATAAATTTCTTTACTGCTCCCTAACGGAGTTCAGCACAATGTTTTGGATGTCTACTTATGTTGTGGTAAGCACTGCAAGTTTTGGGGTATCTGTTTGGGATAAATCACAGAGAAAAGGCTATTGCTGTCTCTTAAAAGCAGAGGTAGCAAAGCTGCCGTAGCTCAGCTGCTGTGCAGAGATGTATGCCAAGCTCAGGAGCACACAGGAAAATGAGCTGGTGGGGAATACTTTGAGCAGAAATTAATGTTGAGGGAGAGGATTTTGTCAGAGCTGCCCTTCAGCAGCTATTAGAGAGATACTGGGTGTGAGTCTGTATGCTGAAGCAGCTGCAGGCATCCTTACAGAAGTACAAAACCACTTTCTCTCTATGTTCATAGCAAGGTGTTTTCAGAGAAGGAAAAAATGTAATTAATATCCCAGTATAGAGCTGAGTGGAGCTAGTCACATTGTCTCCTCAGTTTAACATCTCTTTTCAATATCAAGTTAGAAGATTATGGCTGATTTTGTCTGAACTTGAAATAAAAGCTTTTAAATTTTTTTTTTTTTGTAATCTTATGAGGAATATTGAAAAGCTTTGAGAAAATTTCCAGTTGAAACCTTGTTTCTGTTCTCTGTTGAATGTTGTTGTGTGCCAGTCCTAAGCTGGAAAACAACACAGAAATTAAGAGTGAAAAACATGATGGTGCTGAAACAAGTACAGCATCTACAAATGGTGTTTCAAGACGCTCCTTTCAGAGTGGTTTTCGTGGTACCTTTTTGCAGCAGTTGTGATGGCAGTGCAGGAGCACTGGCTGGGGTGTGTGAGTGCCCTGCAGACATCTGCACCCACAGCCCGTCCCTGCCCGCCGGGGGCTGTGTGAGGAACGCGTGGCTGGGATTATTTACCCTCTGCTCATTTGCCAACCAGACTGTAGCAGTAATCAGAAGTTTGGTAATTCTGTGGAAGCAAGACGGATTCATCCTTTCTCCCCTTTCAGAACAGATCTCTGTAAGAAATGGCAAGTTTTCTCCAGTTTTGGTCCCACTGTTATGGTTTTTTAAAGACGTTTATGGGACACTTGCATGTAAATGGTTACATTGAAACTGAAGTGTGGCACAATGATTGTATTTGTGAGGCAGTACATACAGAATGGCTTAATATCTTAATGATTTTTGGGTGATTTAGAAGCCTAGATTTTCTATTATTAACTTATTTGGCAGCTGTAGGAGAGTAACGCCAAATGCAACCTGCAGGAAACAGTCACATACCTTTATCTGCAGCCTGTAAAACATGGCTTGAAAGACCAAAAAGATCATTGATAAAATATCCAGCCTGAATCTTGGGGTCCTCTAGCAGTTATTTAATTTTTTTTGTTTGAAATTAGCAACTATCCAGCTATTTATTCCAGCTGAGGACTAACCAGTTGTCAGGCTCCTTGCTCTTAGGACCAGTGATGTCCCTGTGGTGCAGTCAGACCTGTGCTCTGGAAATGAGCAGAAGGTTTGTGGGTGGAGAGCTTTCCTTCCAGAGACAGCAGGGCAGTCAGAAAGGATGGTGCTTTATTTTATAAACCTCTCTTGCCTTTCACGTAGGGCAGGGACGTTGGGCTGGATGACCTCCAGTGGTCTTTTCCAACCTTGCCCTTCTGTGATTTTGTGCTCTCCTTCTGTTGGGTTTTTAAGCCCCAAGTTTAGCCCTTGTCTGTGATTTCAAGCTCATCTGTGGGTGAAATGATCCAGCCCCGTGCCCATGGCAGCTGTGCCAGCCCAGAGCATGGAGAGGGATGCTCCTAGGTGGGCTGGAGCAGGGGTGGAGGAGCAGGGGGGAGCTGTGCTTTTCCCTGGGCTTTTCCCTGTGGAGAGCTGTGCCTGTGGGAGAAGGGAGATCATCTGTAGCAGCCTGTGTGGGTTGGTATGGCTGCATCATTGTTGGGCTGAAAGGATCTGCTGGGCATAAATACATCCTGCAGATCCTACAGAAGGGCCCGTGGGCACCTGGGGCATCTCTGAGACAGAAAGTGCCCAGCAGGGATGGTGTGCTCCTCTTTCTGGAGAATTTGGACAAGGAGGTTGTGCTTGGCTTGACCAAGTCTTCCACCAGGCCCTTTCTGCAGGTGCTTCACTTTCACCTCGCTGTGCCCAGGCTGCCAGGGAGCCCTGGGCAAGGGGGGATGCCCAAGGTGGTTTGCTTTAGGGAATGCACTCCACAGTGGTGAAAGCTGCTCCTTGTCCTTGGGACACGTTCCTGCTCTTTGAAACACCCAGAGAAGTGCTGGGAGCCTCTGAGGTGGGAATACCCTCACCTGCTCCCAGGGCCTGTTGGAGAGCCCCAGGCTGTGGGAATGGGATGCAGGGTGGCCCCAGCACCCCACAGGCAGGGGCCCCTACAATCCATTATCCTCCCAGCCATTCTTGCAGGTGCTGGGTTGTATCTACATAATATGTTAAATATGATCAAAAGGATTGTTCCACAAAGTGACACAAAGATGGCAGAGCACATGCAGACCAAACACGCCCCTGGAGATCTTGCTGAGTGTGGTGTCACAGCCAGCTTTCCTCTTGGCTGGTGGAATCACTCTTTTATGTTTATGCTCATTTGGGAGATCTATAAATATAGAAAAGAAAAAAAAAAGCCCTCATCATCAGGCAGCTGTAGATGAGTTTTACTAATCCACAAATTCATTATTCAAGTGTCTAAAAATACCTGGTCCTTGCTGAAAGTAGAGGAGAAGTGGCTGTTACTGGTGATGTCTTATTTGCATGGAAAGCTGTGGATGCCTTATGATTACAGGCAAATTTCCCCTCTCAGAACAAGCAGCATGCAGTGGGGTTATTTAGCTTGATGCAAGTAGACAGATCAGAAAGTATATAAATGTCTAATGTGAATATTTCTCATTAGCTCAATTGCCCCAGGCTAGAGGGGCTGGGAGACTCCAGTGTATCTAAATGAGCTTTGCAGAGCTGCAGTTCTTGAGGCTCTCTTCACCTACGTCAGAGCAATGTTAGTGAAGGTGAAAAGTGGCAGGCAAACCCAAAAATATTCTCAAGTCAGAAGAAGGGAAATTCACCATGGTGTGGTTGGCAGTGGGAGGAGAAATTTGTGGTGCTGTGACTCTCCCCAGATGGAATCAGCAAATTCTGTTGTGTGTGTGTGTGTTTTTAGGGTCGTTCAATAGAAGAAAAAGAAATTCCCTCTACGTAACTGTGACTCTCCTCATTGTGTCAGTATTAATTCTAACGGTGGGCCTAGCTGCTACAACAAGAACCCAAAATGTGACTGTTGGAGGTTATTACCCAGGGGTTATTGTAAGTATAGAACTCCTAGGTAGGTCTAGAAAACTTATTGCCTACAAAGTCCCTTGTAATGCTGAAACTGTTATAAAGGGTGATTTTGTCCTGAATATTTTGCTTAGCTACTTCATTACCATTTTATTTATTTGTTTTATTATTATTTTGCACCTGCTGCACATTCCCATGCAAAAATCCCATCCAAGCGGCACCTTCCTCTGAGCTTAGGTAAATTACTTGATTTTGAGCTAGTGGTGAGACAGTTGAATAGATTTTATGTCAGTTGAAGCAACTTTAGAACTTCTTTGTTTACATAGATCACACTAAGCCCAGGCAGAAGTAAGGCAAAGAAGGACCTTACTGCCAAAAGCAGTTGAGAGACCAGATTTTGAAATACTGGTAACATGAACTTGTGGTCATAAAGTTTACTTGCAGAAGTGTTTAACAAATTGGAGTCCCTGGATGAGGAGCTGTGGCAGCTTGCCAGGGGAGCATGTACATCAAAGCCACGAGCATATCCATTTCTTCTTTTTTGTTACCAGCAGCTGAAAATGGGAAAGAACCATATTTTAGCTTCACATGGCTTAATTTAGAGAAGACCACTGGTGTCCAGCCTTCTTGCCATTAGATATATGCTCTCTTACAGAAGCATGAGGGGCAAGTACTTCATGACCCTCCTGGCATGAGCAGAGGTCTGACACGAGCTGGACAGCAAGTCCTGCTCTGTTCCTCTGCATGTCTAAGACATGCTGAAAAAGAAGCACTGAAATGCAATCACATTACGTGTCTCAGTAGATTAAATGCAGCCAGTAGCCCCAGCTAAAGGTCCTGGTCAACAGCTGTAGGATGCTGCACATTTGATTTGGAGCCTTGAATTTGGAGGCTTGAAACCATTCCAGAAAACCAGGTGGAGACTTGTTCTTGTCTTATTGCTGTTTGATTTATTTGCCATGCATTGCTGATCTCAGGGAGATTTTTACTTTCTGTGCCCAAGTTCTTGTACAGCTGAAGAAAAGAAGCCTTTACAGCCATTGCAGTGTGGAACATTGTTACAGATTATGTTGGGTCTCTTTGGTTTAGGTTTTCTGGCTTGTCCCAGTATTTCCTGCATTTAGGCCTGATCTTTTTAAAAGAGAAGTATAGAAGGAAGGTGTTGAGAAAGATGACAGACTGGCTGCAGACTCTCCACACTTCCTCTGCACTGTGCCAGCCTGAGCTGAACCTCGTGCTTCAGAGCAGGTCCTGCAGGCTGATGCAAATGGGCAGAGTCTGCTGCTCACATCCCCTTGACATCTCCCGAGCTATTTATGGTCCAGAACGTCAGCATCGCTTTCACTTTTCTGAGGCTTGGTCTGCTCAAGGAATTAATGAAGTGCTGGACTTGGGAAGGGCGTTGAGTTACTTCATTCAGAGGCACCCTGGCAATTTGTGTTTGTCACCAAATTCCCCACCTAGGTTCATTAATCTGCTCCGTGGAAACATGTGATGACCTCACCTGTCTTGCTGCACAGGAAAACATTTCAGAGTGCTGCTGGATGCTTCAGAAGGTGCTTAAAATAGCTGATGTTTCATAACAGGCTGGGATTTCTCCCTTTACTGGGGAAAAAGGGCTGGCTGCAGTGAGTGAGTGTTCTGTGAGCTGTCCTCAAGCAGATAGAGCCAGAAGTGTCTTTGTATGCTGGGCAACTTCTCTGTGTGTGGAGCAGTTCCATGGCTGGAATCATCTTAGGGAACGTAGAATCCTGAAGTCATAGGATACTCTGAGTTGGACAACACCCATCAGAATCATCAAGTCCAGCTCCAGGACAACCCCAGGAATCACACCATGTGCTTGAGGGCATTGTCCAAATTCTTCTTGAACTCAGACATCAGATATCTCATTGCTGCCATGCCTAAACCACCCTTCTTTCCTCCTTCAACTTGTGTTTCTTGGGCAAGCACCTCTTGTGCAAAGATGTTTGCTTCAATGCAGGGGATTATCTTCCCAGGCTTCTGCTTCCAAGGAAGGACAGAACCAGGCACTGGAGATCTTCCACACATCAGTAGGATTTTGTTTGGTTGGGTTTTCTGAGGGCTTGATGTCTCTAGTCCCAAGGAAGGACAGAACTGGAGACCTTCCACACATCAGTAGGATTTTGTTTGGTTGGGTTTTCTGAGGGCTTGATGTTGTTTTTTTCTCTAGCAGCTCAGTTCCTCTTTGATTGAACTGGAGAAGCTGAAGCAGAGGGTTCAGTGACATCCTGTAGCCAGGGTGCCTTCACCCTCCTCCATGAGCTGCACCCATGCCTTCACAGCTGCATCAGGGAATACCTGAGCTGTGTCTCTGTGGGAAATGTCCTCACCTGTGGCTGGGTGACAGACCTGGGACAGAGGAGCCCAGAGCACAGCAGTGATGTTCAGCAGACAAGAGTAATGCTCAGGTGCAGAAGACAAGGGGCCCTGTGGGAGTGAGACTGTGAGATAGGTGTGGTGTCTCCAAGTTCCAACAGCTGCCAGGATCTGTGTAAATTACTGACCTTTCTAAGGCTTTCACTGGCAAACCTCTTCTGTGATGGTTCCTTGCCAAGGATGTTGGCTTGGGGCTTTACTCTGGAAAAGCACATTCACTTTGTGTCCTGTCCTCCTTTCAGACAGATCCCAGGGGACCACATCCACCAGCAAATAAATGATGTAACTGAGGAACATTACTGAGATCTTTTTGTCCCATCATAGAAGAATGAGTAGTTCTTCCATTAGTGCAATGAGAATTCCTGTTAATGAGAATCCACCAGTTTATTTGGTCTTCACCTGCTGGATCTACAGACTTGCTCTAATTTCTTCTTTTTGAATTATCTTAAATTATCTAAAGCATTTCACCTTTTGTTTTGAGGCTGCTCTGAAACACCATGTGGATATTTCTCTTAAAGCTCAAAGGGCACAAAACATTTTTCTTGAGCATTTGCCTTGGGTGTGTGTTACCACACAAGTTCCTTCTGCTAAATATCACTAGATTGAAAATTACACCTGGATCCACGTCATTGTTAATGTCTGGATCTCCCAATTTTTTTTTTGCTTGGACTTGAACTATGAATGTGTTACTTTAGGAAGGTGAGGGTGTTGTTTGCCTAAGCTAAATAATAAGTTAAATAATAAGCCCAGAAGCACTGGCAGGTCAGTGTGGGGCAGTTCAGCAGTGCCCTAGGTCTCTGCCCTGCCTGTCCCCCCAGTGGTAAGCAGACCCTGGCTTCGCTGCAGTGCTTCCCACCATGTGCCTGATGTGGGGACAGGGGTGTGCAGGAGCTCTCAGTGCCAGCCAGGCTGTGGGGAAGCAGAGCCTGCTCAGCTGCTCCACGTTAATCCAGCTGCTCACTTGAACCCTGAGCCAGCTGCCCTCCCTGCCTGCACTGCACCAAAGCTTGCTGGGCTTAAGCAGGGCAAGGGAAGACTGAAGCCCAAGTTTACATCACATCTGTGTCTGCTGATCTTGCACATGCCTCTGTCAGTAGTGGATTCATCAAACCTTTGTTTTCTGTTCCTGGATCTCAAAGTATTGATTCCAGGTTAGTTGACTCATTTTTGAACCACTACAGCTTGTCTCATGCCTTGTTTTTCTTCCTGGGGAGTTGGCCAGCTATTAGGAATTCTCACATGGATCTTCATGGGCCCTTGGTCTGTTGTCTGGATTTGCACCTCCTTAGTATGACAGATCCAGCTGTGGGACTTTTCCAGTGTTTCTCATTTCGCCAACCCATGGAAGTGGGGTTGGATATGCTCTACACCAACCAAGGACCTTTCTCAGTGTGCCACAATCCTATTTTTGCATCTCCCCTCTTAGTCCATGGCTCCTGCTTGAAGTCCCTGTTTCTGTCCCGGCTGGGGTGTGCTCTGTCCTAGAAACTTCTTCTTAGTGTAGCTTAAGGCTATGGAGAAAGGAGGTGGGAAATTGCTTTCCTGGCTGGCTTCACTGAGCTGAAATGAGTGTTGTCAGTTACAGCAGCAAGGAAAGATGCTTTTGCAGTGCCTTATTCTGTTGGGCCAGTGTGAGCTCTTCTGCTAGAACACCCTGGCTGATGCATCCTCACCCCTGGAAATGAGGGAGGAGTAAAAGACAGAAAACTGCTAAATCTTCCAAAGTATAAACTTCCTTTATTTCATGCTTCACACTGAGGAACTCTCTGAGTTGAGAACTGAGGTGGTTGCTCACAAGCTCAGTGAGGTCGCAGAACCTGGTCCTGGAGGATTTAGTGCACTGGTCCTGCTGGGTTTGCATCTGGAGGCTCCTGAGTGTTTGTAGGGCTGCTCCAAGACAGCAATGCATATCCTCATCCACCAGCCATTCCTCAGCATCACTGGGGGGATGGAATTCAGAACTCATCCTTTTGGTTTCTACACACGCTTTTAGTGTCATGTGTGGGGTACACCTGATAGTTCCTGCTAGTGAGAGACTCCACTGATTTCTTGCTGAAGGAAGAGAGCTCACACATCAGCAGAATGTTCTTTTGCTGCTTCTGGATTTTATTGTGTTCTGTTTGTAAAATCTGTTGGGTATCATGCTGAACTAAATGCTAACAATACATTGTTTTTCAGCTTGGTTTTGGGTCGTTCCTTGGAATAATCGGATCAAACTTGATAGAAAACAAAAGACAAATGGTAAGTTCTTTATAAAAACTTTTCTTAAAAAATGACAGTAACTCAAATACTGTGTGTAAAGACTATTATTTTAGGTTTTCCTAACTCTTCCAGGGTAGTGTTGCATACCTCTTGAGAACTGGAGCTGGTTTCTGGCAGCCTGGGATCAGTCCCCTGTGGGCACTCTGCCTCACTGTCTCACTCAGGAGAGCTGAGAGCTGCAACCCCCTGGCCTGTGCCTGCCCCAGGCTCTGGCAGTGAGATCCTGCAGCCTTGCTGAGATCCCTGCAGCCTTGCTGAGATCCCTGCAGCCTTGCTGAAATCCCTGCAGCCTTGCTGAGATCCCTGCAGCCTTGCTGAGATCCTGCAGCCTTGCTGAGATCCCTGCAGCCTGTCCTGCTGAGCTGCTGGGATGGAGGGGGCTCAGGGGTCAGGTTAGCAGTGTGTTCTGCTGACCAGCGCTAAGGCAGGTTCTGCAAAGGCAGATGGGAGGAATTCCTGTCCAAATCCAGAGTCTGCCTTTGTGCTGCCTTTGCTTTGCACTTGGCATGCTCCCTGCAGAGCAGGAGGAGAGGGTGAAGCAGACCCTGCAGGAGATGACATTTGCCTTTCCCACAGTCAGACAGCGTGCAAGGGAGGTGAGTTTCCCAGTGGATATTTTTGTTGTTTTCACCCTGGCTCTGCAAGAGCAACATTTCCCTGTTCTTTCTGTCCTAGCAGGGTTTCAGCCTCTTGCTCATCATGTATTAGCAGCATGTCAGTGTCTGGTTGAGCAGTGAACATATTGTGCCAGTCCTGGACTCTTCACAGGAGTGCCCACAAGTGACAGTGTGGCTCTAACAGTGTGGTTTGATTATTCTGAAGAGCCCTGGGTGGCCTGAGCTTATTCTTTTCATCTCTCTATCATTTTGTGTCCTAAAAAACATTCATGACCCAGCTTTGCAGGGATTGCATCACTGCTGCCTGGGCTGGCAATGAGCATGTCTCCACTCAGATGGCAGAGAGGACATGCAGTAGCTGTCACTTATCGTCCCTGTGCTTTAGTCACATGTCCTCCTTACCCAGGAGCACTTCACAGTGGCAGCTTTGTCCATTGCATCTTTCTGTGGTACCGCTGGCCGTGGAGGATTTATTTTTTTCAACCTCTCTGAACTCCCCCCGTGTCCTAGTTTGCTAAAAGGCAGCCTTGGTCTGCCTTGTTGTGCAGCTGAAGGCAGAAGAGCCAAAAGCAGCTTGTGCAGCTGTGTTCTCTGCATGTTTCTGTCTGTGAGGTGATGCTGAGTGAGGGGTCAGTGAGCCAGCGTGGCTGATGGCAGAGCTAACCTGAAGGATCACTTCTCACTCCCCCAGGCTGCTGACAGGAGCAGACCTCTCTGGTTTTACCCACCCATGTGTATTGACTTCCATGCTATGCCTCTAGAAGGGCAGGGCAGGAGAGCTTTAGTGCCCACGGGAGGGCCAGCTGCCCAGGCAGCTCTGGCACACACCCCTCTGCCCACTCTGCAGCCTCCCAGTGAGGAGTCAGCAGTTTGCACGCCTTTGTGTCATCTGTGCCCTGGAAAAGTAAGGACCAGCACCTTCACAGCCCACCTGGGGCTGCACCATCACCTAAAGGGAACCTCAGCCCAGGACACTCCTGCACTTTCCAAACCCAGTTTGTCTTTTGTTGTCTGAATGCTGCTTGGTGTGACTGACTCCATCTGGAGTTCCACGAGTGAAGATCAGTCAATAATATCACAGGGCTCTAGAGAAGGACTTCTGCTTGCTACAGGAACAGTATTATCAACCCCAAATCAAAAACAATCTTGTTGGCAAGTTGAAAACTGGGATTTTTAAAATTAAATTTGTCAAGAAAATTAATCCACAAACACCAGAGGTTTATGTCCAGAAAGCAGACAGAGAAGTCCTGTAACTTTATTCAAATAAAGGGAGAGGCCATGGGTTATTTCCCCTGGGGACTCTCAAAATTTTTAGGGGATGCAGCCTCTTTTTTCTCCTCATTTTCCAGCCTCATTTTGCTCTCTCTTTCCCCACTAGCTGAGGTACATGAGAGGTACAGACTTCCTGAAACACCTAATACTCCCTTCTAATGTATACCCCCCTGTTTTTCTTTTTCCTTGTGTCTGTTCTTTCTCAAATCCAGAGATTCAGTACAGCCTCCAGTGAGTAACAGTCTGTGGCAATTAGTGGAATTCCTGTGGAATTTATGGTTCCCCCCATTGCTTCTTTCTCCTCTCCATATCTGGCCTTATCTACCATCAGGCCCAGTTTGTTTGCAAAGACATTCTTTTTAAAGACATTTCTTCTTTTTCATTCCTTTCCATTTGTATGTTTCTATTTGCTGTTTGATTTTTTTCTCTACCATAAATTTGCAGTGTTTGGTTTTCAGGCTTTTCTTTCTACATCTGAGAGGGAGAAAACCTATGTAAATAAAGTGAGCATCAGGTACTTACCTCTTGGTAGGGCTGTTATGAAAGTATCATTAACTTTGTATTTATTTTAAACCACCATATTAGCAGCTCCTGTCTGTGAGCAGAGATGACTGACAAATTCCCTAATTGTGTATATTTAGTGTTTGGCTCAATTCCCATCTCTAAGGCTCATGCTATTTAGGGCAAATATCCTCTTTCATGTGTGTATGAAACAAAAGACAGTACTGAGGAACACTAAACTTGCTACAAAATACCCTAAGCCATAAACCCCATGTCTTCCACCAAAAATGGACTTTGTCTGCTTGTGTGGTTTCCCTAGAGATGGTGTGGGTTGGGATCCAGACCTGCAAAGGGTGGGGCTTGGTGGGGAAGAAATGCAGGAGTTCACAGCTGACAGAAACGGGGTCAGTGTAGGATCCGGTCCTGGAAAACTTGTCACCTGCTGCCATCTGCAAGTGCTCTGTGGCACAGCATCAAATATTCCAGTAAGAGCTTGTTGTGATCATGACACCTTCACGTGCTCTCTGGGATCCTTTCACAGCCTGCTCTCTCTGCTGCTGCAGGTCCAATGCCTGTGCCTTGAATGCTTGCCTCATCTAGAAAACCATTTGATTTTCTCTCATTTTTAAGTAAGCCATTTCCACTGCTCCAGCTGAGCCCTCTGGCATTTCCAGTCATTGTTCAAGCTGATCTGGTCTGTATGTGAGGTTACTGGAGCAAGATCTGTTTTCACCTAGGGTGATGTAGATAACACCAGTGTGATTAACCTAAAAATCCTGAGGTGCTTTAAAAACACACATAGGATCCTTCTGGATTGTATTGGTCTGGGGGGTTGGCTTGTCTGAGAGCTGGAGCCTTGGGCAGTGGCGGGAGCCAAGGTTTTCAAGCAAACTTGGTACCTGGATCTTTAAAACAAACATCCCCAAGTCAGGAGACCTGAGGTGTGTGTCAGTGCTGGCCGGGCTGTTAGCTTTGTATTTGGGCTGTAGAGATTTTTACTACTGCTCACAGCTCCCCCATGCCCACAGTCACCTTTGTACTCGTGGAGAAACAGTTTTTTAACAGCTGCCAGCAACTGACACTTGAAGGTTTCGGTCACCAGAGTTGGAAAACCACCAGGGAGCTTCCTGTTCTTTACACTGAAATACTGTCAATATATTGAAATAATGTATTTCAATATATATGAACTAAGACTGAAAGCTGTTCCCCAAGCTGCATTTGTGAACCTGTCTGTGTGGGTGCTGTGCTTGCCCTCCCCCTGCAGCCCTGCTGGTATCCCCAGTGTGCTGTGGCAGGGGGGATCGGGATCAGCGTGGGAGCTCTGTGTGTGAGGAGCTGGTCAGGAGCCCAGTGGCAGCACCTGGGTTCAGGTGTGACAGGGGCTGTGTCAGCCCTGCTGCAGGCTCCCCCAGCTGAGCACTGGCTCTTTGGCAGAGGTGGTGTTTGAAGTGGCATAGTGGGAATAGACAGTTTCTCATACCTGGATTGGAGATTATTCCTGCTTCACCTGCTGAATGTTTTCACCCTAACTTTAAGGATGGGCAGGATGGGGCTAGTGGAAAAGGATCTTGCCTGTCTGACTGCCCTTCTCAAGCTGCAGGTGGAGGGAAGTCTGTGTCCTTGCAGCTCTCCAGTGGGAGCTGGGTGGACTGCTTTCACCCTAACTTTAAGAATGGGCAGGATGGGGCCAGTGGAAAAGCCTGTCTGACTGCCCTTCTCAAGCTGCAGGTGGAGGGAAGTCTGTGTCCTTGCAGCTCTCCAGTGGGAGCTGGGTGGACTGTGCTTGCCACAGCCTGGCACCGAGCCCAGCCAGGCTGCTGTGGGGTGTTCAGCACCCATGGCATCAGCTGGTCACTGCCCTCTGCTCTCGTGGCTTTGTGCTTGTGCCTGCAGCCGGGTGTTGCTCCCTGAAGGCACAGTCCCAGCAGAGAGGTTCGCACATCTGTCTCCTGCATCTCACAGCTCAGGAGGTGCTCCCAGGAGCAGCTCCCCACGGCGCTCCAGGGTGAGGGGAGAAGAAATCCTCTGTCTCTCCAGGGCACAGTTGAGGACAGCAGCAGCCAGAAGAGGAGGTGTATCCTCAGCCCAAGTTTAGCCTGTTGGACTCATGAAAAAACCTGCATTACTCTATCAAGTCCCCAGAGAACCAGTCTGGCACGATGCTCTACTGTGCCCCGCTGCCAGAGCAGACAGAGCCACTGCCTCAGCCAGAGCAGTGTGTGCAGCCCGGGCAGCATTCGGGTCATTGATTGCTCCGGGGCTCATCGACTGTGCTCTACATATCCCTGAGGAGAGGACACTGATCACTTGGTGGTGGAGAGGCAGCTGACGCTTTGCTTTGTTTTCCTTTCTCAGCTGGTTGCATCGATCGTCTTCATCAGCTTTGGTGTGATCGCTGCGTTCTGCTGTGCCATTGTGGACGGTGTCTTTGCTGCCAGACACATAGTAAGTGCTTCCAGGAAAACACACTCCTGCAGTACTTGCATCTAAGAAAACAAGTGATGGTGTCTGCAAGCCTGTATCAGGCCACATGAAACCCTGTGAATATATATCATGTGCTGGATGCTGCTTTAAATCACAAGCTTTAGAAAAATGTTATAATTAAAAAAAATGGCAGAAAGCACTAAGATCTTAAAGCTTTGCTTTGGGGTTTTTTTGGCTTTATGTGTTTATTGAGTATCAGAACACTTAAGATGTAATGTGAATTACAGCTATTGCCAAGGGACAAGATATGAGCAGTAGCATCTATTTTGTTTTAAATGTTGGCAGAGCTGGTTCTTAATGCAGAGTGAATCACAATGCTGTAGTAGAACGAAGCAATTTGATACAAAGCTCACTGAAGCATTACAGTATAAACAGGAAACATTTGCAGTAGGTTCTCAGTTTCCATTTGGTGACTTAAAAAATTATGAGCTGCTGTCATGACCAATCACTAGTACAGTGGGATGTGCAAAAGCTTTAGTTATTATTATAGAAATAAAAAGACGCAATTCCATTTCAGCTTTTTGATTGAAATTTGCAACTGCAAACAGGTTTTTTTTTTTCGTCCTGCAGCTTTGCAGTTTTATGACTTTTTAAAAAATTTTTGTCAAAAAGGGATTAAGAAGACAGATTTGGAGTTTGTTTGTATCAGAATGGAAAGGAATTTCAGAAGGTCAGAATTACTCCCTGTATCAGCTGGCTAGTTGTGCTCCCTGTGAAGCTGGCTCTTCCCTCCTGCCCCTGAGTATTCCAGTGGTGGAAAGGCAGGATTTGCTGGCAGAGCAAAGGGCAGCTCCTCTCACTTGTGTGATGGGTGTCTGTCTGTCTGGACAGAAACCAGCAAGTCTGGGCCATCTCTGACCCCCTTTGCAAGGGTGTGACCCCATGGGCTGGTTGTGGCATGAGCTGGCAGCTCCCCTGGCTCTGGGGGTGGCTGTGTGTCTGAGGCAACCAGAGCTGAGCAGTGTGAGACAGAGGCTTTGGTTTCTGCCTCTTGATGAACAGATGGGCTTTTGGCCTCACTTTACCACCTGACAGTCCAAAAATATCACTACCTTGCTGGAAATGTGCTCCTGCCACGCCAGCACAAAGGATTTTTCCTATTGCCAGCTGCTGCCACTGCCCTGCCAGCCCAGCTTTGGATCAGACACCTGGAGAGCCGGTCTGGCAGCTCCTGGGAAGGGCTGGCTGATGTGGATACACCTCTGGCATTGCTTTCCATGCCAGAGGTGTATCCACATCAGCCAGCCTCCATGAGGCTTTGCCTTGGAGATCAAGCTGCCACAAAGGGAGGCATTAGTGCATGTTTGTAGGCTGGAACGCTGATGATCCTCCAGAGCTTTCCCACAAGACACTGAAGAGCACAGGAAGGACAAATTTGTGAACAATTAATGAAAAATTGCTATGATTCAGCAGGAAGAACCCTCAGAAATCTTTAAAGCAGACCTGGGATGTGTCTTTTAGTTCAGGATGGCCACTATCACCCAAAGAGCCCAGCTTGAGAGACTGCTCCTACCATGCTGGCTGTAACAATTTGATGCCTCCAAGGACCAGGGTTAAACATCACCCGGGGCTCAGGGGACTGGGGTGGGGGCTGCAGAGCTGTTGCTGCATTGAGGAGCTGGTGTGAGATCAGGGTTGTGGTCGATGCCCCATGTGTGGCAAGGAGGATGAGTGGAGAGACGCAAATCTTGACTCCATGTTTCAGAAGGCTGGTTTATTATACTACATATTATATTAAAATGATACATTAAAACTATACTAAAAGAATAGAGAGAAAAGGATTCATCAGAAGGTTAGAAAGAACAGGAATGGAATGAATAACAAAATCTTGTGAGTGCTCACAGCCTGGACACAGGTGGCTGTGATTGGTCATCAAGTGAAAACAATCCACATAGGCTAATTTAAGATGCACCTGTTGGTAAACAATGTCCAGACCACATTCCACAGCCATCAGATAATTAACTGTTTACATTTCTTTTCTGAGGCTTCTCAGCTAGGAGAAAAATCCTAGCAAAGGATTTTTCATAAAATATCATGGCCACGCAGGGTCTCTCTAAAGTCTGGTCCCTTTCCCCAGCCCCTTTGGGTGAGTTTGTCTTTGCTGCAGGGCTAAGCCTGGCGCTTTCTCTGTGCAGGACCTGCGGCCGCTGTACGCGGGGCGATGTCAGTACTACTCCAAGAGTACAACCCCACCAGAGGTGAGAGCCCGTTCTGCTGTGCCCTGCTGCTTGGAGCAGGTGGGGAACCTGCTGCCAGGCAGCTGCTCCAGTGTCCTGGAGGTCTGCAAAGTGAGGAGGGGTGGGAGGCTGTGCCTGGGGTGGGAGCAGGGTGCTGGGAGCACTCGGGAGGTGGGATCCCCATGTACTGCCCCAGGAGTGATGGAGCAGATGGAGAGGAGGGCGTGTAGGGTAGGAAAATGCACCAGTTTCTCCAGGTCTGCAGCTGTGCATTCATAGCAGCTGGGTGGAGGGTTAAGGTTTCACACAGCAATAATTTCTGTGTATATGAGAAACAAGTAGCAGCCTCTGCACCTCTCCTGTTGTGTTCTCCAAAGAGAAGCCTGTTGGGGATGGATGATCTTGCCACATACTGATGGTGTGTATGGATGTTTGTCTGCCTTTGCTGAGCACTGATTATCTCTCAGAGCTTTCCTCACAAGTCCACAGGTAGTTAGGTAGTTCTGAATAACCATTATATACCAAATTAGAAGGCCTACAAAGTTAAATGCTAAACATTTAGCAGTGTGGGAGTGGTCCACTCTCTTTTCAGGCCGAGGACTGTCCATGTGTTACCACCCTCAGGCACACACAATTAATCACTTTGGTCATTTCTGCACCACTATTGGAATCTGCTCTCAGTTTGGGCCATGCTATTGACAGCTCTCTGCTCTGCCTTGCCCTGGGGTGAGGTGGGTTGGTTCAGCAAGGCCCTGGCTGCTTGCAGGAGTTGCAGAACCTCCCTCCTCTGCAGGCAGGTGCTTGTGTGTGAGCTCCCGCAGCAGAGGAAACGCTGCTCTGCTCCAGCCAAGTGCATCTCTGTTCCCATAGGAAGGCTTCGTGGGAGCAAGATAAGGAAGGAAAAATCTGCCTGGGGCTTATGTGGAGATCACTGAGAATTCTACATGTAGAGCAGGCCAAACACCAGCAGAAACTGTGTTTGGGGATTGTGTCCTTCTGTGCTTTATGTATTTTTTTTCTGTATTCACACAGGCGGTCTGTCACCCACAGCGCCGTGCCCCCTGCACACCGAAAATAAAAACCAACACCTGCTTCTGCTGTGACCTGTACAACTGTGGGAAGTAAGCCAAAAATGCCACTCCTGGCCGTGGGAAGGGCGAGCAGTGTCACGCTCCTTGGCGATAGCTCGCAGCTCGTTTGCAGGATAGTTAATGGCAGTTGTTGTGGGAAGGGACCTTAAGCTGTGTTTGTCAGCAAGGAGGAGTCCCAGACAAAAGGTAACCAGGTCAAGGTGGGTGTGAAATACGGCAAGGCCATCCCAGCTATGGGTGAGTATGCTCTGGGCCAGCCCAGATGGAAAAATGAAGAGCACTTTCATGCTTGGTGTCCTCCTCAGGTTTTCCACCTATTGAGTGTTGCTTGTCCTGACACCTTCCTTCTCTCTTGGCACTGGGTTTTGGTTTTTTCTTTGACAATATTGAAGAAGCAAAAAAACTGGGACAGTGTTCTTCTTTACCTTGCCACCATTCCATTCCCCGCCGTGCTAGCAGAGGAGAGTTAGCAGGCTGGTGCCATCTGTGCCTTCATAAACCAGTGTCCTCTGCCCAGTGAATGTCTTTCATGCTCACTCGGGGCTGGAAGGTGAACCAGCTCTGTGCAGTGAGTCAGGAGGAGGTTCCCAATCGAGAACCACTGCAGAGCAATCACACCGCTGAGATCTGGCTTCTGTGCCTAAATCAGCTTGATTTACAGCATGCGCTGCTTATATCTTGTGGAGTGTCCAATGTGTGTTAGCAAGGCATTAATAAATCGATTTTTTTACTGCTGGCTCTTGCCTAGAGCTGTTTCAGGCTTAGCATTTCTAACAGTACTTGGCTGGGCTGGCCTCCACTTAAATCATTGACTGTGGTGGAGGAAGATCAAAAGCTGCTGTTGGGAGAGGATGGGTGGTTCCCTGTGCTGGGAAGTGTGATCCCGGTCTCTGTAGGGCTTTGTGTGTGTGAAAGAGGCGTGAAGCTCATGCTTTCCTTGAGTAGTTTACAGAATACAATCACTTTTTACTCATTCTTTCCTTGGGCAGTTTACAGAGCACAATCCCTTTTTACTAGCTGAAGAGAGGATACTGATTGGAGAGAGAACTGATTGGAATGGAATGGAAAAGCTTAAAACTTTTCTGTGTTTTTCTTTTGTTTTTGTTGGTATTTTGCGTTTTTTTCCCCGTCCTGGCTCTGGGACCTGCCCCTGACCCACTTTCCCCTCTCTGATGAAAGATACCAGCTGTTGCTGTTTCAGTCTTGCTTAGTACCACGCAAACCTCCTGCACTGAGGAGGTGCAGGGTGATGTCTCAGTACGAGAGGCACGGACACTCAAGACTGGTTAGTGCACATGTAAAGGATGGAAACCGTGGCAAACGTGGCAGCAATCTTGCATTCTTGCTGGGAGCCCTGGCTCTGGCAGCACGGGACAAGCCCCTTCCCGAAAGCCCCTTCCCGCTGATCAACGAGGGATGTTCTCCCTGGGGGATCCGTGCTCTCACACATCTCCATAGGAAGGAGCACTTCAAACAGCACAATCAGGCTTTATTGTTAGAGGGTCACCGAGAGCTCAGGTTACAGAGGTTGTGCCAGCCAGCGCACAGTTTTGTAACCTGAGGTGCCTCGATTCTGCCTGAAATCCTCATCTGGTTGTGATGTTCCTGCAGTGGCCTCCTAAAATGAAATGTGGGAGTAAAAAGGGTAAAGAGGCAGAAGTTGAGTAATCAGCAGAGGAGGGTGACTTCTGTGAAAGGGGGCAGCTTCCTGCAGGCCTTGTGGAGTCTGCTGAACCTGGATCTCCTGTTCTTGACCTTAAATATGAGCCAGTTCTTCCACCTTTCCTCAAAGCTCTCATGTGCTCTGAGCTGAACCCTGTGTGTGAGCTGGGAGATAAGTCATTCATAAGCGCCTGGCACTGTTTGTCCCTGATAAATTTGTTTTGCTGTAGGCCACTACGCTACATCTGGTAAGCTGTGCTGAAGGCCAGCCTGTTCCCCACCCTCACTCAGAGAGGTCATTCCCGAAGAATTCCTCTGCAAGGCTTCAGCCCACTTGCTGCAGGAGTTGCTTTTCTTTTTCCAAAACAATGACCTGACCAGATTTGGCTGAGTTTTTTCTCTCTCTTTTCTGCGTGTGGAAAAGGTTCAGAGTGTGAGCAGAAAGATGAAGTGCCCAGCTTGCTGAGGGGCTGTGAGGGGCCGGTGGCTGGAGCAGGGCACGGAGCTGGAGCTGCTTGGTGGCCGAGCCCTGGCAGGAGCCGTGGTGCCCCTGTGCTGCCCCTGCCCATCCCACCAGCTGCCCTGGGGCTCTGGGGAGCAGCCAGCACTGCCTGGGGGCAGCTGCTGCTCCTCTTCCCAGGGTAATTCCAAGACCGGTTTGTCCTTGGTAAGCCCCCAGGACCTCTGTGGAGATTTCAGATTAAAGAAATAACAGGCAGGTTCAGACACAAAGTCATTTGTTTCAGAACAGAGCCAGTAATTGGTTTCAGACTCCCTTCGTGCAGGGAGATCATGGAGCCACAATCAGGGGGTCCAGGAGGCTTTATCCCCACTCCACTCCCTCGCTAGTAAGGTCCAGGTCATCACTGAGCTGCAGAATGCATTTTGCTGTCCAGCAGTACTGCTTGGGTTTTATGATATGTGGTGCATTTTTATTTTTTTTTATCATTACTGTTGTTTTTTTCCTAATCTAGCAGAGTAGAGATTTCTGGAGGGTACTATGAGTACATTGATGTCAGCAGCTGCCAGGACATCATCCACCTTTACCACTTGCTCTGGTCGGCAACGATTCTGAACATAGTCGGGCTGTTCCTAGGGATCATTACAGCAGCAATACTTGGAGGCTTTAAAGACATGGTAAGAGGATATCAATTCCTTGATGCATTAAAGAAAACAAATCAGGCAAATTGCCTTTAAAAATAATTATGGAAACTACTGGTATTTCAATGCAAATGATCTTTGCATTACTTCAGTCAGGGTGGGAAGAAGGGCAAGAAATAACTATAACGAAAAAGTGAAAGTGATTCACTTTTTGCTCTTGTTGTCACCACCTGAGCACAGTTAGACCATACTAACAGAATTGGGAGACTGTATTTTCAAAAGGAACCATCAGAGAGGCATTGGCAACACCAGGATGATTGAAAATAAACTCTTTCGTAAAAATTGATCTTCCTTTTCATAGTGTTCACATTCTACAAGGAAAAGTGTGGTGGTTGCTCATTAATTGTTGATTTTGTAGTTTAAGCAGCTGTGTTAGGCTGAAACTCTCCATCTAATTTCATCATGGTGCAGAACCTGAGAGGGTGAACTGGGGACCAAAACCAAACTTCAGATAATGAAAAAAATACTGTTCCAACAATGTGAGCTTTGAAATACCTTCACTTAACCAGGCTGCCTGTTACCTTCCATATGGTACAACACAACAGCACAAATGAAGGAATAGAACTGAATGTTCAACAGACACATTTGGGGCTTTTTCAGTCGCTTATGACTCATTTGGAATAACACAAAAACATTCACACAGAAAAGAGATTTGTTGTCTTGGCTAAATGTTTTTCTTACAAAGAAATCTTGGGCCCTGCACTAAGGGTACGTTGTTTCAGAACTCTGAACTCTTTTCAGACTCACCAATATCTTCCCAAATAAAACAGGAACACGTTCCTAGCTGTGCATCACGGCCCTTTGACATTTGATCCACACCAGAGAGCCTCTGCAAACAAAGATGTCTAGAAATGAACAGCAATGCACAAAATGCACCAAATAACAGAGCAATGTGGAAGTAATGAATAATTTCTCCTACTTGTGAAGAAGTAAATCTGTCTTGGGGGGTACTGGTGTGCACTGGGCTACTGCCAGCTTGTTGTTTGGAATCTGAAACAATAAGGGCTGTGGAACGAAGTGACCTTGGAGCGTAGCTGCTGCCTGAGAGGGAACTGGATTGCCAGTTGCTAATTCAACAGAGTTGACATCTAAAGACACACAGTGCTCCTTTAAATTATTTCTGCTTTCATTCAGCTCTCAGCTTTCTGTGACTGGGTTTGCAGCCTCATACTCTCCTCTTTTTGTTTTGATAGACTCCTTCCCTCCCTACGCTGAACTGCAGTGTTGAAAACGCTCACCCTTCAGTGACCTACTACTCCAGGCCACAAGTGACATCTTACAACTCCTACTACCACAGCACTCCTCACCTGCCTCCCTACTCTGCTTATGACTTTCAGGTGGGCAGCATTACAGGATGTTTCCTTGTTTAGCAGCAAGGTTAAATCCAGGCAATCTGCAGGACTCTGGGCCTGTCTTTCTGTCATTCACACAGTTTAATTTTCTTGTTCCTGCAGAAAATACCAAATTTTTCCTACTAGGCATTGGTCCTTGGCAGTGCTCTCTCTTACTAAGGCAGTGTTTTCCTGAAAGCTGTCCTTGAAGTGAAGGCAAGAGGGAGGACCTGCTGCCTGCCTGCCTCCCCATCACTCACTAGTAGAGATCACATTAAAAATGGGCACTGCCTCTGGCACTGCAATGTTCTGAGGAGAGAGGCAAAGCCAGGTGATCAGGTACTAGATTTTATTAGGCCAACTACTGTGTCTGGGAGAAATAGAAGAGCTTTTGGAAACAAGCTATTTGAGCTGAGGACACGAGATGCCTGAAAAGTTATTTTGTTGTGGTTATTTTCCACATACTTCAGCTGGTCTAAGAGGGGTCCCTGCAAACATCCCCTCTGCTGTAATGCATCCCTTCGTCTCTGAGCTGTGGAGCTGTGCTGTTGGAAACAGCAATTTCATGTGAACCTTGCTGTCAACAGCAGCTTTCACTTGCTGAAGCAGATGACATTTCCTCCTCTGCTCTTCTGGCAGGTGGATGTTACCACAGGGGTGATGTTAATTAACACATCACACTGCTACCAGGACTAGAGACTTTTTTTTAATTAACAAGAGTTAGGAACTTGGTCATCAACAAAGAGGTGTTGATAGCCACCACGTCCCTCATCTGAGCCGTGCATTGGAGGTAACACAAATCTAAACCTTCCTGGGTCTGCTGCTAGTGCCACTGGACAATGCTGTTGTCAGGGCTCCTCAATAGAATTGAACCCTTAAGTCAGAACTTCTAGGATGTATTTGTGACTCACTTTTGAGATCAATGAAACCTAGGACACTCACTGGTGCTGTGTAACTTGCTGCAGTTACAAAAATGCCAACCTCAGTGCATGCCAAACCAAGCTGTGCTACAAAGTCCTTTTCCCAGTTTCTCAGCAGCTCTAAGCACTGTCTGACCCAGAGCTTGCCAGCGTGGCAGCCCAGCTCCTGCAGCGAGCCCAGCATGGGTGATTTCCCTGCCTTGTAACTGGAAGCACTGCTGGGCTCTGCTGACACAGCTCAGCCAGACACATCAAAGCGTCCGGGTCCCACTGCTGTGAGCTCAGGTGTTGGCTCAGGAGACGGCACAAAAGCTGGGCATAAACTCAATTCATCTAAATTTAATGTAGCCAAGTCCCTCTTTAACATGAAATTCCAGGTCTAAGCCTTGCATAAGCTAAGCCCAGGGAACTTGGGACCTGCATTAGCTGAGCCTCTGCTGTGGAGACTCCCTTGCCTTGAGCCCCACTGTGCTCCAAGCAGTGACCCTGCCACCCTGACCCCTGTCCCCTGACACCCCCGGCACGTGGAGCACGCCCAGCCATGCCTCTCAAATCCCTTCCAAAGGATGCACTCCCTCTGGTGCAAGAATGCTTCCCACTCATTCCACACATTTTTCACAGGAGAAAAACAACACACCAGAATTCCTAAGGAAGCCTGGGCCCTGGCAGAAACCTGGCTTTCACACACAACTCTAAAATGGCAGACCCAGTTCTCTGGTTTTTAGAGCAGCTCATTCACTGTTGCTGCTGGCTGGTGTGTGACACCCAAGATTTGAGAGGAACTCATCAGTTTTCACTTGAAATGCAGGAGAACACAGAAGTGATGAGATTTTTTTTTTTAAAATATCTTCAATTTTGGATCTAAGGAGCCTCATTTTTCAAAACTGTTACTTACAGGCTGTGCTTCCTCCGAATGCAACAAGTTATCTGAAGTGTTATTTGTATGTACACGATTCACTGAGGTGAACCTTGAAATGTTAATTTTGAACTGTTTGGTAATGAAGTATCAGTTTGACAAAATCCATTAGGAAATGGTTACATTAGAGCCTTTGCTGTCTCCCTGCAGCATTCCAGCGTGTTTCCAGCCTCCACTCCTTCTGGCCTCTCGGATGACCCCCAGTCCCTGTCGCCATCTCCCAGCTATATGTGGGCCTCCAATGCACCACCTCGTTACTCACCACCCTATTTCCCACCTTTTGAGAAGCCGCCACCTTACACGCCATAAAGAACGTGGGAAAGAAGAAAAAACATATTTGCCATCGAAATAAGTGTGAACATTTTGTATTTATATTTTACTGTGGGAGGGAGCAGGAGAATACAGAAGATAATTGCAAATTAAAATATTAGATTGGGCTGTCCTTTTTTGCGAGACTTATTTCAGAAGTTTTAACAATGGCCTGTGACAAAGGGGACAGACTTCTGATGTTTTAATGAGTCACTGAGTAGCAGGTGACCTAAATTTCAGCCTCTTTGGTTCATGTAGTCCTTGATTTTTAATCAAGTGATCCAACACAGATGACAGATTCTGGTCTGCCTTACTCCATCTTGTGCCAAGCTGAAGTAAGGGTAGCCAAGATCAAGAGTTGCTAAAGATTATCAGTTTGAGGTGAGGGTGCTTGCAGACAGCACCACTCAACACTGGTTTTGTTTGGCCTTTGGGCTCCAGTTGCTGGGATTTTGGCTGGGAGGACACAGGACCTAGCTCACATCGCTCGTTGGCCCAACACACTGGAAAAATTTTGGGGGGAACCGTGACAGTGCCTCAAAATGTAACCCTGTTGAAAAGGATAACATCATAGGATAGCCTCATGCATGTGTAGCAAAATAATCAGAATATTGCTTTTTTGAGGGGGGGCAAGCTGTTTTTATTTCAGGTTGCTTCTTAAGATAAAAGATGAAATGAAGTTGTCTCTCTGAATTCTGTGTTAGTAATGCTGAAGTCAAACAGTTTGGGTGGTTGCACTGCCTAAATTGTCCTTGTATTCCTATAAAAAACCATCAGGAACTGTCTACAAGTCACCGGAACAGTGCAGTAAAAATGTTATTTATTTATTTATTTGTTTATGTTTTCTGTGTTTGGGAATTTCTTTTTAAGCTTGTACTTTTAACTTTTTTAATGGACTGAATCAGCACCCTGAATAAGCACTGGTTTAGTAGCTGTATTATGGGCTGCACATAAGGAATATCCACTACTAGTTCTCCAAGATATAAGTCTCACATGGATGACATTCAACACCCTGTAATATAGGACAAACCTGAGGAATTTGCAATTACTGTTGTGACTTTCATTTAATCTTCAGCTGATGACTGTGCTGATTGATCTAGATTCCAGCAGATTTTGCATGCATCTTGCATAACAAAAGGTCAGCTTTGATATGTGACACACTGACCTCTAAAGTGTGGTTCTACTCCAGGAAGTGATTTCAGATGACAGTGTTCAGATCTGACCTGCTCAACCTGAGTGTTCTCAACTGCTTACTTCAGGGATAAAAGCAACATTAACATTTTACTCTTATTTCCCAAAGATATCATTTCCTTGGCATCAGTTTGTTGACCCTAATCCTCAGTTGCCTTCCTTTACTTGCAACTGATGCAGACAAAAAAGTACCTAAAAGTTAAATCTGGCTTTCAGAATCAAAATGGAATACATGCTGGTGGGTTGGGGGAGAATCCAGTTGGATTTTAAACTGTGGCACCTACCTTTAATCTATAAACAATATTAAATGCTGTCAACATGGAAAACAAACACTGAAATCTCTGATCTCACTTTTCAATGTACACCCACACTTTATAATGCTGTTTTTAATCCTATGCATTTGCAGAGCCTTTAGGCTAGACTGTGTATTAACTTTATCATTTCCACTGTCAAATACTAATCAGTATGTTAGTTCATTAAAGGATGACACTTTATCCAGAAGCAAGCGTGACTTTTCTCCACTAGGAAGGGAAAATAAACAGCTGGAGAAAGGAATGCAGCTCACAGGATTTAAAGCAATAGTGTATGTAGAACATATTCTGGTGGCATTTTGTTTTACTATAGAATGTTGAAGTGCAGCTCCTATAAATTTGTGTACTGGAAATAAATTTATATACTGGGGCATCCTCCATTTTATATTACATTTTATTGAATTAAAGAGATAAAAAGAATCTCCTGATAAAGAGATCATGGGCAATTTCAAAACAGACAGTACTTCTCTTGATAAAACTCCCCACAAAACTAGAATCAGAAGGGCACATTAATTTAGTATCAGAAAACATCTTATTGCTTTATCTTTGAAATAAAAGCTAACAGTCCTGTCCCACTTCTGACAAACACTGTACCATTTGTGCCTGTCAAATAAATAGGGCTAGAAGGACATGGGGACACCACAGGACAGGACTGAACATCCTGAAGAGAACGTAACTTAGTGGCAGAGAAACAATTAGGAGATAAATTGTGTCATTGGTTTTGAGTTGAAAAATACTAACCTTAGGAAATCATCCAAATTCTCTCTTTTTTTTTTTTTTTCCTAAGGAATATTTTAGCAAAAATTACATTGCTGCTTTAAATTCACTATGAAAGGACAAGTACATTTCCACATTTAAAAACTTAGTGGTGGTATTTTCTGTTGAATTACCTGTTTCATTCTGCTTGAGTAATATCCAAATTCTCTTTTTTTTTTTTTTTTTCCTAAGGAATATTTTAGCAAAAATTACATTGCTGCTTTAAATTCACTATGAAAGGACAAGTACATTTCCACATTTAAAAACTTAGTGGTGGTATTTTCTGTTGAATTACCTGTTTCATTCTGCTTGAGTAAAACAAAGCATTTAATGTAACTGCAACATTCTGCACTGTATTTGTCATTTCTTATGAGAATGTCAAGTTTGTGACTCATATGTACCCTTTTATTACTTTGCCAAAGTTAAATAAAATTGTGTGACTTTTGTAAACATTTACCAATTCTATTTTACATTTTAGCAACCTTCCTTTTTTACAAGCATCTTTAAAGTTATTTTTAAACAAACAGTAAAATTTACCTTTAAAAAAAAATCAAAGCAAAAAACTCCCCCCCCCACAGGATTAGCCAAAAACTCCTTCAGTTCTGTTTTTGAAGGCACTCATGCCCCCACATTTGACAATTCTGCAGTTTTACCATAACATGGTGCCCTGACCTCAAGCTCTCTGAAGTTACTGCTGCTGATTTTTCACTTCACACAGATCTGAATAATCCAACCAGTGCAGTCTCAGTGTCTCCTTTGCTTCCTTTGGGCATATTCTGTCCTGATGATGTCAGCAGAGCGAGGTAGAAGCCCTGTGCCAAGGAGATAAAGGCATCCAGAACATAATTTGGTATGTTACTTATTAAATTGCATTCCTACATGCCATAAGAAGTCTACACAAAGTAAGTGACTATTTCCTGTTGGCCCCAGGTCACCAACAATGGAACTCTTGCAAATCACAACCAGTCAGCAGCTGGTAAGAAGAGCCCAAAGCACAAGTGAGCTGAAGGCACAGCACTGGTCACTATGGATGTTTTACTGGTCCCTAGGTCGGGGTTTCCTTGGCTTTGAGCTCATTTGCAATGCCTGCAGCTGGTCAGAGTGCTGCTCTGCCTGTCCTGGGAGTTCCCATCCACCCCATCGATGGCAGCACTCAGCTCACAGCACACTGGGGTTGTTGAGCTGATTTGCTTTCTTGGAAAGTGTTCGACAAAACCAATTAAACAGCATCAAAACAAACAAATTCAATTAAGGACCCAATAAAAACACCTCTCCCTGTTCCCCTCCACAGTGGGTTCCCTGCTGTTCCCAGACATGGAACAGGAAGCTACAAACATGTTAGACTGTAGAAACTGAGTTGCCATCAAAAAGAAACATATTACACTCACCTTGAGAATTAAACTTTTTTATTTTTGCCATAGAAAGCTCTAAAAACTAATATCACGTGTTGATTAATGAAAAGTAGAACACAACTTTAAAAAGTATGTTAAGGAAAGACTGTACAACTATATACATCACAGACTGGGGAAAACCAAGGAGTGTTTCACATGGAACATCTCCTAGGCAATAGCTGTAGAACTCAGAATTCAATGTATATAGTTGTCAGCTTCTGCATCTTTTTATAAGCTGCATGCCTTAACAGAACAAAATAAATAAGCAGTAGACGTTATTCAATATTTATTTAGTTCACATAGTGGAATGTTATGGTATGTATCCCCAAAGAAACCAGACAATGAGGATGCAGACACCATTACCATATTTTGCAGCAGATCTGTTAATGGTTTTATATGCATAATAAATGACTGTGAGGTTTGCTACCTTAGTCTGTTGAAATTTTTCATTTCTATATAAATGCTTTGTCAGATTCAACCTTTTTCTTCCATCATCCCAAAGCCAATTTCTTAATATTTACATAAGTTTTTTCATTAAGTTAAACTGGAAGTTAAATGCTTACAAAAACAAACAAAAACACAAATGTAAGTGCAATAGCCAGAAATCTAAATATAAAAGCTTACTCATGGCCCCATAAAGTTTTCAAATAATGGATTTCCAAACCAATAAATACTGGAAGTGGAATTAAAAAAATGCTTTACATACCTCTGGACTTTGGATATCAAAATCACTTCCAAGGAAAACTGAAGACCCTGAGACACATGCAAGCACGAGTCTTCTAGCAGAAATAGTTACAAAGCCCTAATTTTCCAGTTTTCCTCCAAAGAGAGACCTTTACTAGGCACAGTTTAATTTAAGGATTTAAATACATCAGCAGCAAATAGTGATAGCCATTATGTTTAATTCTACACTTTGTAATGTATGCTTAATTCCAGATCCCAACACAGGCTTTACTTAAGAGTCGGGCTCAATGATCCTTGTGGGCCCCTTCCAACTCAAGACTATTCTTGATTAAACATGTGTCATGTCAATAACAAAAATAAAATTGCATTTGTCCTGCCACAAAATTCAGGAAGTCCCAGCACAGCACCAGCCACCTGTGCCAACACAGGCAGTCCACACTCAAGTCCCATGGTGACAGTGTGTGACTGCAGAAGTGCCACCTCAGTTACATCCCACATTCAAAGCATGACCCATTGTATTCAAAGGGGTCTGCAATATGATCTGGAAATAATCAGGTATATCGTGTTCTTGGCTGACAAAGGAGAAGTGCTGAGCACCACATGCACCACAAATCCTCCTCCCATCACTGCTCACGTGGATTTCTGGTATCGTTTTTGTAGCTCAACTTATATTTGAACCATTTACCATTTAAGTGCCTTTCTGTGAAGAGTACTGTTAAAGGTCTAAAACCTTTAACTTTGACAGTCATAAAATCAAGACACTAACTTAAAACATGAAAAAGAAAAGAGAAACCTGTAACTGCAATTTAAGCAATTAAAGGTTTCCATAACTAGTACTATGCACAATAGTCTTTCCCAGCCACCTCTAGAACTTGAGGAGATTTCATATTACCATTTACAAAAATTCAACAAGTCACTAACTCTGAAATGCTAAACTAGGACTCCAGTAAACAGCTGTTTTTATCTACCATTTCCTGATCAAGTTGGACATCTAATTCATCTTTTAACTGTTAAAACAGGCACCAATTGCAAGGAGATAAAAAGGGCAACATAATAAACCCAAACCTGGAAACAGCTGCAACGAGACAACTGCAGAGAAATTATACTTTGGGTCATGCTGTATAAAGGGTATTTTCTGGTTGTTGGTTTAGTCCTCATCTTCCAAAAGATGTATAAATGGGGGCAAGTGTGGGGGGAAATCCGAATCCTTGTTATACCTGAAGATCCAGCCAAACAGGCATACAAGATCTGCCTCAGTCTCAGTGCTAAACCAATACAGCACTTACATGAATTCATAGTTTTGAGAAACCTTCAGCTAAAAAGAAATAATATTTTTATCATTTAAAAATTCTGCACTGAAGCCCTTCTTCTTGAAGTGGGGGAAAAAAAAAAAAAGGAACACTTTATATCAAACTAATTACTGGCGTTTTTTCCGGCAGTAAGAAAATGCAACAATATTTCTCAAGCTGTAAGAAGAGTAAAATTATCTCCTTC